GACATAAGATAGGAGTGGGTCCGACGCTCTCCCAAAAGCATTACTCCGGGGCTTCTCCTTCATCTGCTGGTTCATTCTCGGATGCAACATCATCGGCTTAACCTGACCCACGTGTGGATCATTATTTAAAGAAATCGTACCGGGAACAAATGAAGATTTACGACAATCAGGTGAAGATGTTAGAGTTGATGTCTAAATTGCAGCCCAACATCCAATTACCTATGATTGCTCGTCCAGAACCAGTTGACCTAGACGCTCCTCTGCCTCCTTCAGATGATGATAGTCCTGATGATGATTCAGCTGTTGGCGATGTTGCAAGCTTAGACGAATAGTTCCGTTATATGTTCTATTTTATTTTTCACTTTATTTAGATTTTTATATTTTTTTGAACATTATATATGCACTTCATGTAGTATTCATAATATATTTTATAAATTTATTTAGATTTACTGTTTTTAATATTAATTTATATTTCACTTTTAATGTATCTTAATAAATTATATTAAGTATGTAACATAATAATGTTTAATTAAAATTATTAAAAATTAATTAATTGCCATTTTTTTAAAAATTGAAAAAAAAAATTATTTTAGTTTTTTGCGACGACTTTTTTATACTTGTCGTCGCAAAAAAGTAAGATTATTTGCGACGACATTTTGAAATTTATCGTCGCAAAAAATATTATATCACGAGAATTTCACAACGGCGTATTAGCGACGCTTGTCGTCGCAAAAAAAATATATCGTCACAAATATATTTGCAACGACACTGTGGGGTCACAAAAAAAGTTTTTACGACGACATGTCGTCGCCAAAACGATTATTGGCGACGACACTGGGGTTTTTACGACGACTTTTTGTCGTTGCAAAAACCCCTTTTTCTTGTAGTGAAGCCTCCTCAATAGAGATTTTCTGACCCTAATAAAACGGGTGTAGAGGGAGGTATGGGGGGAGGCCAAAGGTGAAGACGAATACATGCATTAATTACCATTATTTATTTATTAACTTAAAAAACCCATTATTTATATTTATATTAGTTATTAAAGACGGCTCAACTAAAGTTTTATTACTGACTGTGAAATGTCCTTTTCATGATCAACAGGACTCTAATAATGTAACTGGCTTGCAGTGGTAAAAGGATTATGCCATGCCAAATTTCTAAGTACAAATAATTATAAGTTCTCATCAATGATTCATTTAATTAATTTTTGCCACGGCTAGGTCTAAATTTATATATTAATTAACTAATCACATTTTGATTTGTCAAAAAATATATTGGCAAACACGCATACAAATATGTGGTAACTTCGCTGGATTATATTCATATTTTATATTCATATTTAAGAACAATATTGTATTGAAAAGTATTTTTCCTACTCAAATGCTAAGTTTAATTATTTTCTAATTTTACATAGCATTGAAAATACTCTCAGTCAACATAAAATGCTAGAAAAAGTGGACTATATATGTTTGTTTATTAGGACGATATCAATTACGTACTCTCCTCAAAAACAAGGAAAATAAAGTCAGATACCCAGGTGTATTTTAACACTGTGAACAGACCAATCGAATTTCCTCGTTATTTACAGCAACATTATTTATCAAGTTTATATATAAGATTTAAATATGAACATTGGCAACTTTAGCATAAGATTTAATTTCTTAAGATTATGGACTTCAAAATTAAGATATCCTAATTAATAGAGATCGATCAGTGATGTTTCAACAATTTGTAACGGAAGAAATGTATATATATATATATATATATATATATCTTTTTTTTATTGATGTATTTCCTAACAGTGTTTCCAAGAATCTGATTTTAATGTATGTGTACTTAATTCGGATAATTTGCTCGCCAAGTTAGAGAATTCCCCTTGACACAGTCATTGACTCATCACAACACTATTTTCTTATTATAATTTCTCTGCAAGTCAATTTCTCTATATTTAATTATTCTCGATGTGTCCGATAATATAACGACCTTGGTCCAATCTATTAGCCCAAGAAATTAACCGGATTCCAGAAGAAATTATGAATATCCAAGGAACATCTCAGTACTCAAATATTATATTAATTGAATATATATATATATATATGTAGATGATATTCATGTATAGATCGCAAAACTTCATCAATTAAGAAATTAATTGAAAATCCACAAGTGCCACGCCAAGAGAATCCCAACAAAAACGAAGCTTCATTTGCATAGTAGAATATCCATATATATGTACAAATTGGCTTTGAAAAATTGCTTCCAATTAATTAAATAAAATATCTTACCGTCTTCCAGTGAGCTTAAGTAGGACTTTCCGCTTTGTTTCTCAACTTGTTAATTTGTCTGTATAATCATTTTGTTAATTGTTGTTATCAGCTGTCTAGAAACAAAGATTAGCTCACCAATTAAGATTAAGATTTGAACTAGCTAGTAGTAAAGATTGACACGGACGTTGAAGCCAAAGTATATTTATCTGTCCTTATTCACAATATATATAGATAGATTTAACTAGACCGGTTAATCTCCTAAATAGTCCTTAAATTTGAGCGTCAATCTTGATCTGTGACTCTTAAAACATTCCAAATTTGATCATTAATGATCTATTAATTTGTTTTAAATTTTATCCCTTTCTTTAGCTGGGCACAAAAAAAGAAGACAATTATACACATGATGCTGATAATAAAAAAAAAATAAAAATAAAACTCTTTCTTGATAACACACGAAATATGTACTTGATCCTGACGCAGAAATATAAAATAAATATTTTGTAATGTTTTTAACAGCCAACTAATGAAAATGATTAAAATTGAAATAAACTAAAAGATGGGGGATCAAGTATAAAAATGTTTTGAAAGTGAATTACGACTAATATGGGATTGACAACAAAACTCAGGAATCATGATTTATAGGATTAATCATAACTAGAATGTTTGGGTGGGACTTATTATAATCCCAAGATTAGTAAAATCCAATAACTTGGCAGACAAATTTTGGTGATAGATTCGATCAGTAGTTTTAGGGTTTTCATTTTTGTCTTCACACTCTCTTTCTTTTTCTTAGCCCATATCCCCTGACTATATTTAACCCATTTTAATTTCTCATCTTCAATTCCCTTCCACATCAACTCCATATCATCATCATCACCATTCATCATCTATATATGTTAAATGTTTTAGAACCACAATAGTACCATGGCTACAGAGTTTGGCCTTCTCTCCTTGACCCACCTCCACAACTTGGCTCAAAATCAAGACCAAAATCAAGATCAATTAAACCCTAATATTACCATAAACAATACTAGTACTACTTCTTCCAATATTACTACTACTTCTACTTCTGCTACTATTGGTACCACTTGTACTGATATTGCTTCTAGGATGTGGAACCCTAAACCCCATCAAGCCGAAGAGGACGACTCATGGGAAGTGAGGGCCTTCGCGGAAGACACCGGTAACGTCATGGGGATGACGTGGCCGCCGAGATCCTACACTTGCGCCTTCTGCCGGAGGGAATTCCGTTCCGCCCAGGCCCTCGGCGGCCACATGAATGTGCACCGCCGCGACCGCGCGCGCCTCCACCAAGTCATCCCGCCCAATTCCATAATCAACCACCCTTCTGCCGCCGCCACTGCGGCGGTGGCAGCGGCAACTGCAGCCACTTCTTCCTCTACCCCGACTTCTTCCTCTTTTTTAATCCCGACCGGAGAATTTGTCGCCGGCGGTGGCGGGCTGTGCCTTCTCTACCAATTACCAAACCCTAATGGTGCTTACGGGTGCTCCGAGTCTCCGTCGCCATCCACCGTTCCCTCCGTCTCGTCATACCCACCGCACAACTTGCTACGGCCGCCTTTCGCGCCATCTGTGAATTTCCGGCCGGGCGGCTATAACAATGCTCGCCGCAGCCGCCATGATCAGTACCATCCAAACAGGGCTGAGGAAGCCTTAGAATCGGCCGAAAACGGCGGCGATGAAGAGCTTGATCTGGAGCTTAGGCTAGGGCATGGTCCAACCCCATCTTGACTAACAAAGAGAAATCGTAATTTGGGTAATGATATTTCGCTGTTTATGATTGTTAATTCGTTAACTGATGAGGAAGTTATATAATCTTGTCTAATAAGACAGCTTTTTTTTTCATAGTCTAGAGTTAATTTTTGTATGATTTTATTTTTTTTTTTTTTTTTTACGTATCACTAGGTTTATTTGTGATCTGAAGCTGCAAAAAATCCTTCCAAAAAAAAAGAAGCTGCAAAAAAAAAAAAAAAAAAAAAAAAAAAAAAAAAAAAAAAAAAAAAAGAAGAAGAAGAAGAAAATAGTGAAAGCCATGAAAAACCCAACCTGTAAATTCAGAAAGAATGAATTAAATTTGAGAAATAATGTTGAAACCAAATATATTGTTTTTGTTTTTATTTTTATTTTTAATTTTTGGGTGATGTATGGACTGATAAAGTTTGCAGTGCAGTGTCATTTTCTGCTACAGATTTCGGAGTGAAAAAACTGGGCATATATTTCCGTGGGGATTATTACTATCACGTAAAGACTGTGGGATTCACACCTTTTACTTCCCAACAAACTACGAAAATGCCATTCTTATAGCATTATTCATCTCCAAAAAAAAAAAATTAAAAGCTGCTTTTGCCTTTTGTCTGGCCATTTATGGCCGATACACACCGAGAAATCGAAGGCATTTAATCAGTTCAGAGAGGAGTTCATATCATGGTAAAGACCATTAATTGATGGTCCTGATCAGGCTCAGACGACAAACATACCTCCTTTTATATTACAGAGCTCTTTTTTTTTTTTTTTTTTTTTTTTTTTTTTTTTTTTTTTTAAAAAACAAGAACGAAACGATATTCTAATAATTTTTTTTTTGTGTTTTGGTTTGTTTGAGGATTTATTAAGATTACAACTATTGTTTTCTTTTATTTGTTTATTTTTATTTTATAATATACATTTTAACTATTATTATTTTCTTTTTAATTGAAATTTGAACTCAAAATGACGTACTTAATATATTAAAAACAACGCACACACCCCCTAAACACTGATCGAACTAGCCTCAATTCTCATTATAGCTATTGTTGTGTTGTAGCTTATCATTATAATATTACGTATGTTTGGCTATTCTCTTTTCCTTAAGCTTATTTTATTTCTTTCATTTACTTGTAGATATCTTCTTTTTGAATTATTTCTTTATCAATTTCTTTTTCTTTCTGCCAGGGTTTCCTCTTAATTTTTTGAACTTGGAGCTAAATGATTAAATTCTGAGAAATTATTGAATTATCGGGTATACAACGTCATCATACTTATATAGTACAATCATTCAAGAAGTAATTGACGTTTGTCAATAGGATTTATCTTTATCCCCTCAAATCCTCTCCTACATTAATCACTTTTAACTTTCAAATGATATTTTTTTTCATTCTTCAAAACAAATATTATTTTCATGCGTAATTATCAATTAAGAACTTGAAAAAAAAAAAAAAAAACAGTTAACACGTTAACAACTTATGAATTTGTTATGTTAAAGTTCAAAGACGCGTCAATAACTTTTCTTATATCTTATTTGTGACAAAGAGTTAATTACCCTACTCAATATAATGCGTTTCCAAAATATAAAGCTTAACCTATCAATTTTGTGAATGGTTATCATATGCTAACTCAAAAATATATACAAATATGTATCTTAGGTAACTTTTTATGAAAAATCTAGAAAATAAAATCCATAAATTATTAAAAGTTCTTAATTCCCGTATCTGAACGACTAGATATACAATGAGGAATAAGTTCTTAATTTTTTTTTTTTTACTTTCCCAAATTTATAAGTATAAAAATAGTGTCTTTTAATGATTAAAGAAAGTTGTTTGAGAGTTAAAATCAATTATTTAGATATAGTACTGATTACGATTGTTACTAATAATAGTAAAAAGTAAAAAGTAAAAAGAGAAGAAAAAGAGATTTAGTGTGGTTCGGCAATGTACCTATGTCCACAAACTAGGAAAGAGAGATGAAATTTACTAGTAAGAAGCACTATGAATGGGGCTCTATATGGATACACATTTCAAGCATACAATTGGATAAGTTACCCAAAGTATCAAATCTAGAGATTTTCCTGATATGAAAATGAATATAATTAAAGTAAAAACTGCAATACATGTAACTTTCTTTAACAGTCATCAAGCAATATATAGATGTAAAACTTGCGCGTGTTCACATAATATGTGAATCCTCTTAATCTGCCCAATACAGACCAATCCGCTGGTCTGGATTGGATTGGGAGGCATTTTGAATTAATAATGGATTAATAAAATCTCAATATGAAATTTTAAGATTGGTTTGCTGATTAAGCATTTCTCTATTTAGTTAAATCTACGAAGCCAAGTTATATACAGATAATTTATCTGATACATATAATTAATTTTTTTTGTTAAGTTTTTTGTATGTAAGTGTATAATTTTTTTTCAATGCCCAGTAATAATTAATTGGGTTGTAATACATTGAATTTTATTGAACTAATTTATGTTACAGTATGTTGATTTATATTCTAATGGTGAAAAAATGAGTAGTCAATAGTCTCAACTTTAAAGGCCCAAATTCTAGTCCAAGTCTTTGGATTCGGAGAATTTAATCCATAAAATCTGATATTTTGGAATTAGATTGGATTGGATTGGAAGAACTTTTTGATTAATATCGGATTACAATTTTTATGATAGTTTTCAATTAGAGTGCGAATTGACTCCAAATCCGTGGAATTAAATTCATGAATATCTCTAGTAAAACTTATTAGGATAGAGAATTGACTCCATCTTGCTGGGGCATAATAAGGAAAGTCAACCATAATAAAGTTTGTGGATTAAGGGAATGTAAATATATCTTTTTGATTGTAGTTACTCGTTTGTATTTTAGGAAACCAGAGGTAGAATATTCATTTATTCCTTTCCATATTAAACATGATTTGTGTATATATATTGTAATATTCCTTCTTAATAAAAGTTGATAATATCATTCATTCACTTTCTCTTTCTCGTCAAAACTCTTAACTTGGAACATAGATTAGTGTTAAAACGTTCGTACAAAATTCTAATTTCGAGTCCCTTGGATATAGACGCCTAGTCTTGCAATGGCTCAAACCATGAAACTATAAAAATGTGATCAGAATTTGAGTAATACGTTGGTATCAATTCTCAATAAATGTTAAAACTTTTTTTATGGGCTAAAACTGTTTTAGATACTCTAATTAATTTAATAATTGGAAATAAAGAAAGACCAGCAAACCGTGGGAAATAAATTGGAAAAAAATTGGATTTTGTAAAAAATAAATAAATAAATAAATCTAACGTATTATTGCAGGATTTTTAACAAAATAAAAATAAAAATAAGGCAAACAAGAACAGAAATTAAATTTTCTGGCAGTAGTACTATAAGTGTAAATACTCTGGAAATAAAAAATATGGCTGTATGTTGTATGATTAACAATATATATAATTAGGGAGTTTCTCTCGTAGGACCAAAAAAATTAAACTATCGATAGTTTCATTTGTTCAGCTATTTTCAACCATCAGATATGTATCAGAAACTATCTATTCTGCATACTTCTCATTTGATTTCAATCAAATCTAACATTTAAAAAACTGGTTATACCGGTAGCACGGCTTACCAGAGACATTCCTAATACAATTATTGACTACGAAAGAAACTTTGTTGATAGTATCCGGTGATGCTTTTGTAATTTAAAAGGAAATATAATGATCTCCTAAGGTAATGATCCATTTTATCGAATTGTTTTAATTTTCCAATTAATTTCCTTTTTAACAGTAAAATGAGGAATCGTACGTCGATCTCAATAGTTTTTGAGGTCGAACGTGAATAGTATCACATGAGACTAAACCTACGATCTTCAATCAAATTTACTTTTTGAGTCAACATAAGAATACGCACACCAAAGTTTGATCAATAGTCTTGTCTTTTAAGTCTTAGCTAGTTTTAGCTTTTAATGGTTTTTTTTCCCCCTTACTAATTAAAGTGGGAAGTTTGATATAGGACCGAGTTGTTTAGTAAATTATGTAATTAAATTAAGACTTCTCTTATTGCAGTTATATCTTGTCCACATATTCAAAAAAAGAAACAAAATATATTGAGCTTTTACTAATTTAAATTATGGAAAATATGTAGACTAATATGAGCTAGTTAAACGGAATATATAGAAATCGAGTTCGGAAGTAACAGCAGCAAGTACAAGCAATAATAAGCACTTTATTGCATTATCCCCAAGGTAACAACCTCATTAATAAGGGAAAATTTATGGTAGGAACTCTACATTTTCTTTACCAGTAGAGCAAGTATTTTAATTGTCAGATTAAAAAAATATATATCATAAGATATAAAAGTACTTCTACTCATATATCCAACCGTTAAAGTCAATCTGATAGGTAGAAAAACTTGCTCTACGACAAAGTCAAAATACAGTTCCTAGCATAAATTTTTTTCAATAATAATTATATCCATTATTTACAAATATAATAACAGTAAAATGTCCAATATATATTGATAGATAAATATATGAATATTACACTAATATTGAACAATTACATTAAATAATTGTGTGACACGTGTTAAATCAGTCAAAAACCTTAACCAAACTAGATCTTTCTATAACGTTTAATTTGTACATTAGGATGAATGAAGATCGAGAGCTAGTGTTACAAGCGTGCTATAGCTGATAGGGAATTTTTAAAATTAATCCTAATAAAAAAAATTTATTGCTATTAATTTCAACTTAATTACTCCCTATCCCCAACATGCAGTGTACTATGATAATGTAACTGTATATATATACCATCCTATATTCTGTCCTTACATTTAAGAAAATTCAGATTTATCATTTAAATCTTCGCTCTTTTCTACCCTAAGACACAGCATAAGTGATCTCATATCCAACAAAATACCAAAACCACAATACATATATATGATTTTCTTCAGTCCCTCTGGAGGGACCGTTCTCCAACATAAAGTATAGAAGTGTA